GGCTGAATCAGACCCCGTTTCAGGTTTGCAGCTGGTGGCTGGTGGCCAGTTATGGGATGGCAGAGCCAATGAATAGAACTGATTTGGCTAATAGGGATCAAGTGTGATTTATTGGTGATCGATACGGTGGAGAACTGAAGGAGGAAAGCCCACAGTGAGCAGGGCTGTTGGCCGGCAGCTTGGCTTGATGCAAACCAGAAGGAGGTGGGTTCAAACCCGGTCTGTGAGTGAATCTCCAGCACCGCATTTAAGTTGTATCACCGTTGATTGCGATTGACAACCGGCAGACAGATAGAGTTGCCGAAGGGACCTTCCCGCCACGGTTTACCCTCATTCACGCTGACAGAATTTAAAAGTACATAAAATACACTCTTGCTCTGAAACGTGTCTGATTGAATTCGCTGCTGGTTCTCACTAACCATGGCCGATAATAAAATCATGACCAGGATGAGCAAATTTAGAATTGATTGACCTTTTACCTCTATACTGTAGATCGAGCAGTGGAGAATCAGGTGCCTCACAGTGTGGACAGCAGGGGTACGAATGACAGCAGAACAGATGCCTCCCCCTCCCCCGGTGACACCCTGGTGCAGTGGGCCCTGAAATAACAAACAAATACTCACATGATGCATGTCACATTCTTGGGGGGGAGGGGGTGGGTGTTAAGTGATCTTGATGGTGCCTGTTTGGCTCCATTATTTGTGGAGTCAAGTCTAATCCAGCATTACTCACCCCTCTCTGGCTTCTTATGGGGACAGAAGCATTAATATTAAGGATCCAGTCTAAAAAGCTTTTACAGGAGGTCTGTCGTCCCATCTGGCAGTAAGTGCGTGTAACTTGGGCCCATTAGCTGCCTGAAGCCGGCCTCAGTCTCCAGGTGGCTGAGACCAAGACTCACCCTGTGAGCCTATTTTTCTGGCTGTGAGGCATCTTCTCTTGTTTTGTTCTACACCAGAGCTTCTGGTCGACACTGCGTCCAAAATGATTCTGGGGACACTGTCCAAAGATCAGAAACTCGCTGGACAATAGAGTCACTCCATGTTTAAAAGTGAAACAGATTCAGCTACGTTGAGCTTCAAGTTAGGCAGATGGTCATCTGCTGGCTTCGTTTAACCTGCGATAATTAATTCTCTGTCCACATTTAGTGTGGGTTGGCGCCCCATTCTGGGTCGTTCCCTGCCTTGTGCCCATAGTCTCCGAGATAGAATCCGGACCCCCTGTGACCCTGAATAGGAGAAGTAGTTTCAGAAAATGGATGGATGGATGGATGGATGTTGAGTGCTGGATATGGCATGACAGCTGGTATAAATGTATTCATATAATGTCCTGTATAAGATCCATCTTCCAAATGAATATCCTCAGCAGGGTCACTGGATCCCAGGCTGCACAAAGCTGGGTCACACCCTGGAAGGTCATGGTGTAACAATGCATTAATGTTAACACTAGAGGGCGCAATAGGCATAATCTCAGTTTTGCTTTGAGATTTTATTTTTGCATTTTGCACTGCAGTGTTGTTGCGAGAAAAAAGAAATCGTAAACAGCTGTTTTTATTTGTTGTATGTGCCTAAAGGGAATAAAGAAGAACTTTGAGATTTTAGTTTTTCTGTCTTATTTTGTTGAATATATTGTTAGTGTATCGAACTGTGAGCTGTGAATCGTCTATCGAACCGTATCACCGGTAGACTGTATCATTATAGCCCCCCTGGACGGGATGGCATAGGCAGGCACACACACTGTCACACGCTACGGGCTTTAGACTGCAGGAGGAAAACAGCATGTTGCCGATAAAAAACAAACAAAACAAAACAGCCATAATTGAGATGGGATTTGGTGGAAGGCTGCTGTTGCCCTGCACCTTCTGGGCCGTGCTGGAGAGGGTCGTCCACAAATCACTGCAAGCTTGGGTCCTAATAAACACATTAAAAACACCAAGTTGAGGATATGAGACTGGTTTAATGCGGCAAGTTACATTTCAATTTACTGTCTTATACTACAATGTCAACTGTCAAGTGACAGGAGGGGTGTGTATGTGATCATGAAGCCAGATTAACCATTCACATGTCATAGATTGACAACTAGTACAGTTATGCACTTTTTACCCGCCCAAAGCTATCATTAGTTACAAAATAGAAACCGTCAAACTGACTTTGTTATTCGCGGGCCTGTGATCAGAAGGGTGTTGGTTTGAGTCCCGTGCTCAGCAGAATAGCCACATCTTCGCTGAGCCCTTGAGTAAGGCCCTGAATCCCCCCCAAGACATGCTTCTGGGGTACTGGATGGACAGAAGACCCCAAGCTTTGCTCTGACCTTCGGGGGGGAGGGGGCTTTACATTTCATTTTAATTTATTTTTTAATTCCTGTTGCATTACCTGTACTGCAGTTCTGCACGGCATTCTTAATGCTAGCTGCTTTACAGACGCACCCTCCCGTTCCCTATGAACCTAAATGAATCTGTCCTGTAAACAGAGAGCATGCATTTCACACTGGGTCTGCTGATGTTACCCTCCAACCATTTGGTGGAGAGACTCTGCTCCCCTCTGCCATTATCTAATCAGCGGACGGCTCCTCTTCACATTCCACTGTAGCTGTGATGGTATGAAGTAGCATAGCTGAGCCCCCCCCCCCCCCCCCCCCCCC